CTCCCTTCAGGTCCTCCCCTCAGCCCCCCTCCCACCCCCCCCCCGGTCCCCGGGCCTGGGCTGCTGCTGGCTGCTCCCGCCGCTGGGGCTGCCTGCTTTCCCGGTCACCTGGGTCCCGGAGCTCTGCTCTCCGGCCGCGCTCTCCTCAACAAAAACCTCCCCCCTCCACACCCCCCTCCCCACTCCCACCTCCTTTCCCCTGACATCAGTGATGTCAGTCTCAGGGGTGGAAGACAAATTCTCTACCCTGGAGAGGGACGCACAATCCAGACAAGAGCCACGCCCTCTTCCTATCTCCTTCCTCTCTGACTCCCTTCCCACCCCCAGAAGAGCAGCTGGTCCTGTTGATAATAACCCTTCCCCCATCTTACTCCCTAATCACGAGTTGGGCAAGGCACTAAGATGGAGAATTTATAGAGGAGCCCTAAGGTGGGGTCCATTGTTCCGGGGGCTGGAGCTGTCCCCGGTGCTGGAAGAGAAGACCCAGGAGAGGGGAGCAGGGGGGAGGAAGAGAGAGGAGCTGGCATCTGGGGAGACTGAGAGTGGGGAGCCAAGGGAAGAAAACAGGGAAAAGAAGATGGCATAGAGATGGCTGGGCAGATTAGGGGCGGGTGGGGAGAAGGGTGTAGCTGGGGAGGGAAGCAGGTCGCAGAGCCTGGGGGAAAGGGCAGAAGGGACCCAGAGAGAAAGATGGAAAGGGGGCTGTGGAAGAGAGAGCAGGGTGAGATGAGTGCAGAGAGGGAACTGTGTTTTCCAGAAAGGGAATCAAGAAAAACTCGATCTTGCTGGCATTTGCCGACGCCCCCTTCTCGCCCTCTGGGGCGTTTGTGTGTATAAGTGCGTGGGCAGGGAGGCAGCAGTGGTGACAGCGGGAGCTCGCACTTGGAAGCTGTTTGAAGACCAGGACACTGTTTAATTCAGCTTTTACTGTTCACAGTGTCCAGCACAGTGTCTTGTTCACACGTAGTAGGAGCTTAACAAATATTTCTCGAATAAGTAGTCAATGCCAAGAACCTCTGATGAGAGTAGATTCCTGATTCCTTCAATGGGCAGAATCACAGCTGGCAAGTTCCCCTTTAGGGCAGAGGAAACCCCCAAATTCCTTCCTTCTGCTTCTCCCCTCCCCCCCACCCCAGTTATGTTCCCTGACTGGGACTCTCTAATTGAGTCAGGTAACAAAGAGGGATGAGGGAAGCATATTTGGGGGCCATTACTCCCCTAAACAGTTAAACTTCTACAGATGATCAGTTTGCCCTGTGATGTCGAGGGAGCTTGACCCCTCTGTACACTGGGCTCACTCACAGCTCCCCCTCAATGCAGGGAGTGTCTGCTGGCATCAAACCTCTTGGACGGGGCAGCCCTTGCCTGCCATCAGGTGCTCACCGACCTGGGCTCACAGCTTTTGTGGAACTCCTTGCCTCCTGTCACCCCTTCTTCACCCCAGAATGGGGCTGATGTCTCCACAGTGGTGCTGGTGTCTCTGAAATGTGTCCTGCCTGAATCCCAGCAGCCCTGCCTCAGCTCTCTGGACAGGCAGGCTTTTCTTCTGGAAGGGAATTAATAGTACTATCACTTAGATGGCTCTTACGGTGTTGGTCCGTGTCATAGGCATTGTTTAAGTGCTTTAGATTTACTAACTTGTTTAACCCTCAGCACCACCCTATGATGTAGGTTCTATTGTTATCTTCGAGTAAAGATGAGGAAACTGAGGCACAGAGAGATTAAATGACTTGCCTAAGGTCACACACTGGAAAGAGGTATAGCTGAGAGTGGAGCCCGGACAGTGTGGTTCCAAGTCCATGCGTTTAACTTCCCTGTCAAATCTCCTCTTGGGAATGGGGGGAGTGGTTGAGCCTGGTCTTTCTTCCTCTTGTGTCTTCATTTGAGCCCTGGGTGAGAGCTATCCTTCCTTCTACTGCTTGATTCTCCATTCACCACCATCCATCCTTCCCTAGCATCATTTCTGTGGCCTGAAGCCACATTCTGACAGGTATGTATGTTTGAGTGTGAGTGTGTGTGTGTGTGTGTGTGTGTGTGTGTGTATGTGTAGACGTGATTACACTTCATGGTACGGATGTCCAGGTGCTCCCAATAGGGTCCTCTAAAATGGGTGGGTAGGGGGAGATGGGAGAGGACCCAGTGCAGGGTGGTCAGAATATGCGATGGCAGTGCCAGGGAGTCAAGAGTGCAAATACATCTGGAAAGTAACTTTCCACCCATCTCCCCACCCCCACTGCTCCTTCCCTTGCCTCCTAATCTGATCTTGGTATTTATGGAGATGCTAAACAGATCACGCCCTCTGAGGATGGAGCCTAGGAAGACCCCATGGCCCTGTTGATCTCATTACTCTGTGTCTTGTCAGCAGATCTGCCGCCCTGCTGCTCATTCAGGCTTGGGGCTGATCATATTAATTGAAATATTAAACATTCACAAAAATGAATTATAATGAACTCCCCTCACTCCTCCTCCCAGTCAGCAATTGAGGAGACAGCTGCAGGCAGCAAAACGCCTCCAATCCTTCGTTTAGTTTGTGGTCCCCAGACGGAAGGCTTCAGTATGAGAGGAGAGGTGGGGTTTAGGAGAGAAGATGTGGGAGCTCTCTTCAGGCCCTCCTTGCTGGGCGACTGTGGGCACCTCTCTGTTGTCCTTCAGGCTGTAGGGGAGGGAAGCCCTGTGGGGTGAAGACTGGGGGGAAAAATGACCCAGAGGCGCATACCAGGGAATTGCTCTCCAGGAGGAGGTGAGGCTTCCAACTAGGTTCCTCCAAGGTACTTTCTCTGCCCACCATCCCCAAGCTCACCCTCTTTCTTATTCTCTGCACTCAATGTTAAGATGCACTACATTAAAAGATTATTGACTTTGTAAAGAGAGAGCTCACTCCTGGTTTTAGATTCTTAGGAAACGAGACATGCTAAATAATTGGGGTACTTTTCAGAAAGGTCAAAATGTAGTGATGGTATGTGTGGGCAGAATGGCTAGTCATCAAATACTTGCTGGCCTCACTAATTGAAAACAGAGTGAAGACTTCTGTAGCAGAATCTGTGAGAGTGTACAAAGAATTGATTATATAATCTTCCTTCCCTCGAGTGGCTTCTACCTCAAGTGGAGAGGTAAGAAAGGCCAACACCATTTACAATAGTGAGAACTGAGGTGCTGTTAAAAAAAGAAAAGTAGCCTCTCTCATTTACACATATGTGTATTTGGGGTTTGGGCCATGGGATGTGGTCAGTCAAGAAAGGCTTGACTGATTCTCAAAGCACAAGAAGATCATAGTTTAGCAGAAGGAAGACGTTAATTATTTTATGCATGGGGGTGGGGGATGGAGGGAGTTGTGCATGTATATGCCTGTGTGTGTGTGTGTGTGTGTGTGTGTGTGTGTGTAGATTTGACAGTCCAGACCAGCACCATTTACTGTAATGCAAGCTGTATATATAATTTAAAAATTTCTAGTAGCCACATTAAAAAAGTGAAAAGAAAAAGTGAAATGACTTTTAATAATATATTTTATTTAACCAGTATATTCAATGTATTATTCAACAAGTTTATATGATATATCCAAAATATTCAACATGTAATCAATGTAAGGATTATTAGAGATATTTACATTTTAAAATACCAAGTCTTCAAAATCCAGTGAGTGATTTATACTTACAGCTCATCTGACACTTTCAGCAAATTTCAAGCGCTTAATAGCCACAGGTGGCTCGTGGTGACCACATTGGATGGTGCAACTTAGAAGTTCCAACACTAGCTTCTCTGGGGGCGGAGGGGTGGGAAGAGACAGGTCTTAGCCAACAGGAACTATCACGTCTGATTAACCTCTGCTCCTGCCTAAAAAAATCACTTCTGACAGATGGCAGCTTATCTACCTCTCACTATAACTCTCGCTCCTAAAAAACAATCAAAATGATTACTACCCAGATGGGGTTTCTGAGAAGAGGTTTGTAGCCCACTATTTAATTTACCTCTTGAGGTGTTTTTCCTGGCTTGGGAACTGCCAACATTTTCACTTCTTTTCCTCAGTCTTTTTTTTTGGGGCCATGTTGTGTGGCTTGCGGGATCTTACTTCCCTGACCAGGGATTGAACCCAGCCCCAGCAGTGAAAGCACGGAGTGCTAATCACTGGACCGCCGGCGAATTCCCTCCTCAGTCTTTTCTGAGAGGCAGATGGCAGAGAGACCCCCTCCCAGGCCATGGCCTAATGCTGGGCTTGTTAAGCTCTTTCCTTGCTCCTTGGGCAGTTTTCTCAAATCTGAAAAGACTGCCTCCTTTTGGGCTCTTCTCTGCCTCTCACAAGGTCTCTGCTGCTCATGATCTCCGAGGGGGTGTAGAAATTCAGCACTTGCGTGTATTGTCAGACAGCCTCCTGCCCTTTCTAGGTGCTATTTTCAGCTCTCTGGCTTTCTGTCTCACGTTCTCTTCTTAATTAGATAGCAGAAGAACACATCTTGAAGACCAACTGCCTTTCCCCTCCCCTACTCCATTGGGAGTGGGAAACATGATTTTGAATTTATAAGGAGCAGTTAATCTACACAAGAAAGTCAGTCCAAGAGGGGAAACTTCTGGCAGCATGTCCCCAGGTCCTTTCCAGCATTTTTAGTCTGAGAACATTCCTTCCTTTGTAGAACTCGGTTCATTCCATCCTATGGGGTGCTTTCATGTTGTGTTAAGAATCCAAGACTTCAGGGTCAAGTGTCTGCACTTGAAGGATGGAAGGGTTTGGCTTCCGGGCCGGTGGAAAGGGAAGAAGCCTAGATTTTCCTTCCCTACTACTAGGCTTTAAATGAGAGAGTCAGGAACCAGATTCTGGGAGACTCTGCCTTAGGAATCCCTTTTCCAGTTATGCTCTAGAGCTAAAGAAAAAACTATTTGAGGTTGGGTGGGGTCAAGAAGGGCTCATTTTCATATGCAGTCAAGATGGGAATTCAGTCCCCAAATCTGGGGAAGGGGATCCTTTTGACACCTTCTAGAGCTTACTCCTCGGCTTCAGAGTGGCCCCCTTATTGCTTCTTTCAGCCCCGCCCCCTTCTGGAGAGGGCGGGGCCAGGCCAGGGGCGGGTCCTCACCAGCCGCGCCTCCCGTCGTCTTGACGACCGCGACAAGATGGCGACCCTGCCGGGCGGGATTCAAGGGCTGTACCCCGAGGCGCTGAGCCCCGAGCAGCTGGAGAAGCTGCGCGGCTTCAAGGTGGGTGCGGCCCCCGACCTCCGCCTCCGTTAGACTGCAGCTCCCCATGGGTAAGGGCCCCAGAGAAAAGGGACGTGGAGCCTGTTCCCAGATAAAGGGGCGGAAGGCTCGGTGGGTGGGGACACACCCGGCGGACCCTAGGCTTCTGGAGCCCTGAACAGAGCCCGACAGGCGCCTGAAAGTCCAGAAAAAAACTTAAACAGGGATGGGCCAGAGAAATGGACCGAAATGACTGCCGGATACTTTAACTTAGATACAAACAAGAACTTCCCAACGGTAGAGACCCGACCTTAGTTAAGGCCCCTAAGCCTGAGCCGGAGGCAGCATTGAAGATGTTGATCTGTAAGAAGACAGATGGCTTCAATGGTCAAACGCCCAGGGAAGAGACCCGGGTTAAGTGCGCACGTTGTTTCCCCAAGCCCCCCACACCTCCAGGGCTTGAACCCTGAAATCTTTCTCCTCATGAAGCATGAGCTTTTTCTCTTGCCCTCCAGATTCAGACTCGGATTACTAATGAAAAGTACCTAAGGACCCACAAAGAAGTGGAGTTGCTCATAAGTGGTTTCTTCAGGTAGGTGGTTTTCAGACTGGCCTTGAGCAAATAGTGGAAATCTCGTTGGGGATAGATGAGTGTGAGTGACCTCTTCTTTCTTTAAACACTACTTGTTGCTTCCTTTAGGGTCTGAAGTTTAGAAAATATCCTGAGATTGAATATTTTCTAGCGCCGGGGTCTGTGGCACCCAGGGTTTTCTTGTTATCTCTAGAGGTTTCCTTCAGTTACCTCAAAATTCTCAAAAATATTAATATGCATTCACTTTAGCTCTAAGGATCAATACATACCTTCCAACACTTGGAAGAGGGAATTTGGCATTGAGAAACTCAGCAGGCAGCCATTGGGTGTAGAACCCTATTCTCTATCAGAGGCCTTTAACAAGGTCACTAGAACTTAAAAAAAATTCAGACGTCTGGCCTTTCTTTACCTGAGAACATTGGTGTGGAAAGACTCTCAAGGGTTGGAAGCCACTCCCTTGTAAGTCATGGGGAAAAGAAAACCATTTTCCACCATGTCTTGGAGCACCTTTTTCCTTCCCCCACACTGCCTTTCAGCATGGCATTTGCTTGAATGAAAATGTTCCTAATAGGATGAAAAGCAAAGAACTGAGGGAAAAAAAAATCATGGAGCATCAATGGATGAAAACAATAGAGCTATGTCGAATACTGTTTGGCTACAAACAGATAGGCACGATTTAAATAATAATGGCTTCCATTTCCAGGCACTGCTGTTGGTTTCCTACATTAGCAGTTATCACATTGTATAATTGCATTTTCTTTCTCTCCCTGGACCAAAGCTCTAAGCTGGTGGAGCCATGTTTGTGTCCCCAGGGCCCACAGTGTATGACATTTTGGTATATTTTTGCTGATCCTCCTAGCAAGTCTACAAAGATAGTTTATTATCACTTCCATTTTACAGGTGAAATACCTTCCCCAGATTGCTGAACCAGGATCCAAACCCCTGGTTTTTCCACTGTGTTGCACTGTAAGCACACAGGAGCTGGGGAGCCAGAGGTAGGGCTCTCCTTTGTCTTTTTAAAACTAGGCCTGGAGGGGTGTCTTTTTTCCATGCTTCATTGTTCTTCAAAGTGGCAGCCGATTCTCAGAGGGCAGATAGGGGAAGGGGAAAGGGAAAATGGAAACCTGTCTGTGAGGTTTGTTTTTTGGGGGCCAGGCTTAAAGCTTGGGCAAAAGATAGTTTAGGGGTCCTCTGTCAGTGTCCGCCCTGGAGATCAAGCCATCACTTTCTGTACCTTTTCTTCTAAAGGGAGATAAAGGACGATATCTTTCCTATCCTGGGGAGCTTGCAATCCAAGTTAAGAATGATTCCAGCAGCGAGATTGGGGATAGATGTTAAAACCTGAATTAACTCACCATTTGCAATGTTCACAAACAAAAGGATTAGAACCCTTGGGGGTGGTGAATAAAGAGGGTGTTGTTTTAGTCACATGGCAGGGGTGGCCCTGCTTCTCTGCCCAGGAACAGTTTCCAGGAGGAGCTGGGTGTCTGCAAGGACAGCTCTAGGCATCTTCCCTTTCCTTCCTTATCATCCCCTCCCTGGGCCAGGTAGGCCACCAGGCTTCTCCTTTTGCTGTCCTGGAAGCTCCTCTCCTGAAATCCTCCTGGCCCCTTTCAGGCCTTTCTCTTTCTGAGGGGGAGGGGAGAGGGGAGAGGAAGTGTTTGAACTTTGAGGGCTTGCTTTTGGTTTTCTTTTTGGTGTGATTGTTATTTCCTTTGGATAATACCAGAGTGAACCAGAATCAGCCCCTCGTCTGCATTGGATGCTTCAGATGGTCCTTCCTGTGAGAAAAGAGGAAGGGAGAAGAGGGGACAGAATCCTGGGCAGCATGCCTGTCCTCACCTGTCTGCAGGTCTCTGCTGTACACTCACTGCAAGCCATGAGAAGCCCCACTCTGTTTTTGTTGGGAGGCAAGCTCACCACTTGGGTTTTGCAGATCCTAATGATTTATGGCCATTCAGCTACAACTCTCCAGCCTATACTCATATATACAGTATATGGAACTCTTAATGCCTTGAATTTTAGAACTGAAAAATGTTAGAAATAGGGATCTAACTTATTTTAGGCATCCAGAGATCTCAGGTTTTAGGCTGGAGATATGATAACAAAGTGTGAAATTGTAGACAGGCTTTATTAGGTGTTTTTGTAAACAGCCAGGCAGATGAATCTTCCCAAACCATAGCACAGATCATATCATTCCTTGGCTGGAGAAATCTTCAGTGGATCCACAATATTGCCTTTTTTTTAAAAAAAACATTCTATTGAAATATAAAGTACAGACAAGTGGCATATCCTAAACTGGCTGAACTTTCACAGGCTGAGAACACACATGGTACTAGTGTCCAGATCAAGAACTAGAACCTGACTAGCACCTCAGACCCTTTGTGGCCCCTTTCAGTCACTTCCTCCAAAAAGTTAGCCAGTATCCTGACTTCTAATCACACAGATTCATTTTGCCTTTTTGTGTACTTTATACAAATGGAATTCCACAATATGTGCTCTGGCTTCTTTTGCTCAGCAGTATCTTTTTTTGTTTTTTTGCGGTATGCGAGCCTCTCACTGTTGTGGCCTCTCCCGTTGCGGAGCACAGGCTCCGGACGCGCAGGCTCAGCAGCCATGGCTCACGGGCCCAACCGCTCCGCGGCATGTGGGATCTTCCCGGAACGGGGCCCGAACCTGCGTCCCCTGCATCGGCAGGCGGACTCTCAACCACTGCGCCACCAGGGAAGCCCCAGCAGTATCTTAGATCCTCCATTCTCATTGCTGTGTAGTATTCCACTGTGTGACTCTACCACGCTTTGTTTATCCATTCCCATTGTCTCTTTTTTTCTTCTTTTTTTTTTTAAATTTTATTTTTATTTATTTTTGGCTGCGTTGGGTCTTTGTTGCTGCAGGCGGGCTTTCTCCAGTTGCGGCGAGCGGGGGCTACTCTTCATTGCGGTGGCGCATGGGCTTAGTTGCTCCGCAGCATGTGGGACCTTCCCGGACCAGGGCTCAAACCCATGTCCCCTGCACTGGCAGGCGGACTCTCAACTGCTGTGCTACCAGGGAAGCCCGTCTCTCTCTTTTTTTAAAATATAAATATGTTTATTTATTTTTGGCCGCGTTGGGTCTTCATTGCGGTGCGTGGGCTTCTCATTGCGGTGGCTTGTCTTGTTGCGGAGCACGGGCTCTATGCCCATGGGCTTCAGTAGTTGTGGCACTCGGGCTCAGTAATTGTGGCTCGCAGGCTCTAGAGCGCAGGCTCAGTAGTTGTGGCACATGGGCTTAGTTGCTCTGTGGCATGTGAGATCTTCCCGGACCAGGGCTCAAACCCGTGTCCCCTGCATTGGTTGGCGGATTCTTATCCACTGTGCCACCAGGGAAGTCCCCCCACCATTGTCTCTTGAACTGAGTATGAATGTCTCTCCCTGGTCTTCAAGGCCCTCCATACTAGGGCCTCCTTCGCTTCCCACTACTCCCTGCACGTGCCCCCACTCCAGCCAGACTGGACCTCTCTGATCATTCCACCGCCCTCTGCAGGGGCACTGACACTCCCTGAGTGCTCTTCTAGACCCTGGGGAAACAAAGGTGGATACGACCCAGTTCCTACCCTCTGGAGTTCACTGTCAACAGGACATGGGCAGTTCTCTTTAATTTTGGGGCCTTTATTCCTGCTGCTCCTTGGTCTGGAAGGCTCTTGTCCCTCAGCCCTCATCCCATGTGTACCTCAAGGGCGCTCTCAGACGCCAGCTGCTCTGTGAGGATTTGGGGGTCTTGCCGTAAGGAATCACTCTCTCTCCTATGATCTCCCAGCACACTATTTCGTACCCTCCCGTAGCACTACCTGGAGGTTACTTGGCCTTTTGGACATTTGGGAACTTACCCATTTCCTTTCACTTGACAGTAATTCCTTTGAGGTGGGGCTATGTTTTATCTTTTTAAAATCAATCCCCCATATCTTATATAGTGACTTACACAGAATTTGTGCTCAACAGTTCTCAAATTGAATTGAAGGAGAAGAGGGGAAGCAAAATTCCTGAAGCTTGGGAGGCAGGGGCCTCCTGGACAGGGACAGCCTTCCATGCTGGCGGGGCAGGGCAGCCACGGCCACAAGGCCATGTTGTAGAGCACTGGCCTTGGAACCACAAGACCTGGGCTTCCTCTCCTTTATTTACGTGCTTTATGAACTTGGGCAAATGGTCAACCTTTTGAAAGCTTGCTTTCTTCATAGGTAAAATGGGGCACAGTCATTGCTGTTTCACAGAGTGTAGAGTGAGATAACGTTTATGAACGAGCTTTATGAGCTATAAAAGTCGGTGGGCTATAAGGCAGTTCCAGCTTCCCAGTGGCACCGGCGCCCTTGGTTTTGTCCCAGTGTCCACTGTATGCAGGGCCAACAACCATCTCAAGTCCGTCCTCTCAGCGTGGTTTACTGTGCCCTCCCCCCCACCCGTGGCAATTCCTGGTTACACTTCCTTGGAAGGTTGTGGGTTGCACATGTGTCCCACCACACCTGAGTCCCTTGAGGAGGAGGCAGCGAGCTCTTCGACTTGCCGCCTGGCCTGGGCCTGGTCTCTGGCTCTGTGAAATGTTTGTGGAGTGAATGACAAGCTTCACTTGGCTGCAGCACTTGCTGTCTTGTGAGGTGAGCACTCCCTAGGCTTCTTGCCATTTAGAATGTCTTGCTCCTGGCCTCAGATCCTGACTAGAAGGAAAATCACGAAGGAAAGGGTCCTTGGCAGGAGTCCTCTGGCTTTCCGCCTGCCAGGACGGGTGTGTCTCGGGTCATCTGCCCCGACAGTGCAGGACCTGCTTTACCTCCTCCCCTTATCCCTTGATGTTTTCCAGAGAAATGCTTTTGAAAAGACCAGACAACATTCAAGAATTTGCTGCAGGTGAGTAAGGCAGCGTCCATTTTGGGCGTTTGATAAACGAGCACCAGGAGTGTTACTGTGAATTTAGACTCGGACAAGCCCAGGATTCTCCCTGCAGAGTCTGGGGTGCTTCTTTATCCAGTGTCTCCCAAGGGAGCTTTTTTCAAAAGGCTCTTTCCTCAATGTCATTTCCTCAAAATGAGGACAGATAAGAAACGAGGCAGAACTTCCTCGTGGTAAAGATTGTTAAGAATTTTGAGATTCCCTAAGGAACAGACTGGCAGCTCTTTCCCTGGGAATCTTAAAGCAGGGTTCTCAACCCTGGCTGCACATTAAAATAATCTGGGGAATTTTAAAAAAATATTGATGTCCGGGCCCACCCACAGAGGTTTTTATTTAATTAGTCTGGGGTGGGGCCGGGCATCCACAGTTTTAAAGGCTCCCCAGGTGATTCTAATGGGCTCCGCTGCCCTGAGATGGCTTGAGGTCAATGGTATTTAAAGGGAAGGGGCTGGGCTTGATGATTTCTTGGGTCCTTTTAGCCCTGGGATTACAGCCTCAAACCGTTTCTGACTGAATCTAAGTATGTCTTTGCTGTCACAGCAGATGCTGCCTCTGATTCACGTTATGCTGGGTATATAAAAATCCTCTTCTGTCGTCATCCTGCAAGAGCCTGGCTCTCCTCTGAGAGGATATTCTCAGAGAGGGCGTGATGTCTCAGAGACAGGAGCCAGCAGGCCGAGCTGAGACAAGAATAACACTTGGTATTTATTTGGGCCCCAAGATGGGCCTGGAGCAGAAAGCCAGAAACTCCCTCAGCCCTCTCATGGCTCCCTGTGCGTCAGCAAGCTGACAGGCCAGCGGCAGGGCGGTGTGGAGGGGACAGGGACCGCCCTGTCAGCCCTTGCTGGGAACGCTGGAGCTGGAGGCTCAGAACTTCTGGGGGGGGGGGGGCGGGGGGGCGGGGAAGACAGTGACCTTGGGATTTGTTGTGGCATCTCATATTACATTGTAAAGCAGGACCACCAGTAACAGTCCTGCTAAGACAGAGCCTTCCTGGCTTTTTAGCAGAGTGAGCTGTCTCTCGCCTAGTCTTTTTCCCTTGGGTTTAGATGATTTCTTCTTTTTAATTCTTATCCCAGACTATTTCACGGATCCAAGACTTCCCAACAAGATTCACATGCAGCTAATTAAGGAGAAGAAAGCGGCTTAATTAGCAAAATCATGATGCTCAGCTGTTGAGAGAGAACAGAAAGCATGCAGCCTCGGGGTGGGTGTTAACCTCACTTACAGTCAGAGGCTTCTTTACTCCTGTGAAAATAAGCACTGGTTCCTCGGCCCAGGGTGTGAAAGAAACCAAACAGAGATGCTGCAGAGAAGTTCCGTGCAAGTGTTTCATTTTCCTGACACTACTTTAGGGAATGTGAAGAGAGGCCCAGGGTTTGTCTGGCATGTCCGTGGCAGGGAGAGACATCCCGTCTTCTTAATCTAGTGACATGGATCAAGAGAATGGAAGTTGAGTAGTTCTGGAGGAAAGAGAGAGCCAGGGAAATGGGGTGGGATCCGTTAGTATCAAGAGCCTGCTCTCAGGCTGCAGAATTCCTGTGTGCTTCTGCAGGTGGCCTTTTCCTTGTGTCTTTGGCGGCGGGAGTAGAAGGGCTTTCCCACTGCTTCTGGAAAGGGTGGGGGCAGTTTCCCTCGTTGCATTTGGATTGGGCGCTTTCCTGCCCCCTTCATCGTCAAACCAGGCTACGCCGTGAGGGCCATCACACATTTTTCAGGCAGGATTTCTGAAATGATCTTGAAGGTTGGGATTTTTAAATGTGAGGTGGGAAAAAGCCACACTCCTGATTTAGCAGCACCATTTCTGTTTTGCAGGGTCATCTGGAAGCGAGAAAGCCCTGTTGCCATCAGTGTGGGTTTCCGGGCTGTGTCTGCTGTTGCAAAGGCTTTTAAAGATGCTCATTAAAAACAGACCTCCCTGTTCTCTCTGCTTTATTTCACTTAGAAGGAAGAAGACATCCTTCACGGGAGGCTGCTCTGCCCCCACTCGGACCAGGTAGGTAGTAGGCCTGTTTCTCTGTTCGTGGCAGAGGCCTCTGAGCTAGGTCAGTGGGTGTTTCCACATGTGCCTCAACCCCGTGTACTCCCTGCCCCTTCAGGCCACTCACTCCCAGAGCCAAGACCGGACAAAAGAGCAGGGGTGGGGAATCCTGAGAGGAACACAGCTGGTCGTGGTTGTACTCAAGCAGAGTCCACGCTTCCAAGGTGGCTTTTGTTTTTTATCTTACCTCCGGGGTTATTGTACAAAGTGTACAGGTGATGATTAACTTTTATTTCCATAGAAGCAATAGTCAGAGGAATTGGGTTGGGTGGACGGAAGAGCGAATGAGATTAGACACAGAAAACCCATTCAGGGCCATGAATATTGGGAAATAAGAGCCCCATGGGTGACTCAGAGGTGGTGGACTTTGTTCTTGAGGATTTTTAGGAGCAAGCTGCCCATCCATTTGATTTTTAGCTTAGAGGCAGGAGAGTGGGCCGGTTGGCCTGGTAAGTCCTTTCCAGGCCTAGGAGGCGTGGAAGTCTTGCATGTGTGTGTGTCCTACCTCTCTGGCCTCCAAAACTCACTGGTTCCACTGTAGGAAGGACCTCTCACCTGTGTGTCACTTGTCAACTTCACTATGGCAACAGAAGCAACAAATAATACAGACCGAAGTGGGGGCTGTATTATTTTTATTTCCCTTGTCTCTGCTGTCTTGTTCCCAGCTACCATCATCTGCAGTAGTAGAAAGGGCAACAAAATGGGGCATTTAGAGAACTATTAAAGCTACACATAATAAGCTATGGGGTAGGTACCTGAGGAGTTATTTTAAGTGCTTTCAGAATCACACTTCAGCAGCCATGGCTCTGACAATGAGGTATCCCTGTTTAGAAAATACAAACGAAGCCTTCAGCCAAACACACATCTACTAAGGATCTCTGATGTGAAGTGTTATGTTAGACACTCTTGGAACCTTTTGTAGGGGAAGAGACCTGCAACAGTGTGGGGAGAGAGCAGAGTGTTTTTCAAGATGCTTGAGTGCGTGATTTAATACACGAGAGTACAGCGGCTCATGCTTGGGGAGTTTCCTGGTAGAGATAAGAAATGCATTTTTAGGTCATAGTGCACCTTCTCTGTGTGAGACGGTGTGCTCGGTCCTGGGGGTAAGGCAGAGCGATCGTTCCTCCCGTGCAGCGGTTCATGGTCTGGGAGATGGGCTGCTTTTCTCCCCAAACCTTAACTGTCTGAATATCTCACTTTTTAGACTGAAAGCTCCACCAGGGCAGGGACCAAACCTAAAAATCGAACTTGGTCACTGTTGAGTTCCGGACCCCTAGCACAGTGTCTGAATATAGCAAGTGCTTGGTATGCATTTGTGGAGAGAACGAATGCTTGTATAGTTGAATGAGCAGTCCCATTATGTCGACTGCTATCAAGACTGTTGTATACCTATGATGGAAGTAGGGACATGATACGGGAGGCGGTGGAAGAAGGAACACCTGGTCTTCTTGCGAAGTGAGGGAGTGAGGGAGGCCTCACGGAAACTGGCATGTGATGTGTAAGAAGGGATTTGCTAGGCAGACATGGCAAGAGGCATGGGGTAGTCAGGGTGTCGCGGTGCTTACATTCTGCTGAGCAGGATGCTGGTGGCCTGCTGATTTTTAATAAATTTATTTATTTATTTATTGACTGTTGGGTCTTCATTGCTGTGCGCGGGCTTTCTCTAGTTGCGGCGAGCAGGGGCGACTCTTCATTGCGGTGCGTGGGCTTCTCATTGCGGTGGCTTCTCTTTGTTGCAGAGCACAGGCTCTAGGCGTGCGGGCTTTAGTAGCTGTGGCGCGTGGGCTCAGTATAGTTGTGGTTCGCGGGCCCTAGAGCGCAGGCTCAGTAGTTGTGGTGCACAGGCTTAGTTGCTCCGCGGCATGTGGGAATCTTCCTGGACCAGGGCTCGAACCCATGTGCCCTGCATTGGCAGGCGGATTCTTTACCACTGCGCCACCAGGGAAGTCCTGGCCTGCTGATTCTTATTACTCCTTTCTTCCTTGCTTCCAGAGCTGAAGGGGGCAAGAGAAAAGGAGGGGGAGCAGCTGTTGGGTCAGTCCCGAAGCAGTGTCTGCCGTACCCTCCCTCCCTGCCTCATTCTCCACGTGGTAGCTCGAATGATCTTTTAAGAAACCTAAATCTGTATGTTACTTTCCTGCCTAAACCCCTTTAGTGGTCTTCTGTGCGCTTAAAGTCCGGATGGCCTTCCAGGGACTGCAAAGCTTCACGAGCCCCTCCACCTCTCGGTCGTCGGCTGCTCTTTTCCTCCCGCCTCACGGGGCTCCGGCCACACCAGTCTTTTCTCTCCTCCCCGACCATGCCAAGGTAGTTCCCACTTTAGGGCCTTCGAACTCTGCCTGGATTTCTCTTCCCCAGAACCTCACAGAGCTAATGGTCCAAGTTAGGATGCTGTGTGCTGGAAGCAAGAAGAAGACTCTGCTAAGTGAGGCTGTGCTTTCCTCACGTGGCAGACCCGCAGGTGGCGGCTACTGGCGTTGTTTCAGGGGCCGCCTCTCTGCCGTTCCTTCCCTCCCTCATGGTCAGAGGAGACGCAGGAGGACCAGGAAGGGACTGTGCCAGTGGTACTTGTCTGTTTTCTCAGGAAAGCAAAAGCTTCCTCAGGACACCCACTTCCGCCCCCCAGCTTCCACTACCATCTCACTGGCCAGAGCTGTTTACGTGGCCCCCTCTTGAAGGGAGGCTGGGAAGTTGAGGATTTAGCCATTGAACAGTGCCCTAGATAGCTTCTTGTCACTTCCTCAGAGAGTCCTTTTCTAGGGAGCAGACTGAAGTTGCTTCCCCCAGGCATTTAAACATATTTAATTAGAAAGGTATTCCCGCTAGCTGTTCTGTCACATCCCTCTGTCTGGTTTTCTTTACCACACCTATCACTGTCTGATATTGTCTTGTCTGCTTATTTTCCTGTTACTGTCTGTGGCCCCAGGAATGTGAGCCCCCGTGAGAGCAGGCCTTGTCAGTCGTGCTCGTCACTCCGAGGCCAGCACCTACAGCTGTGCCTAGCACGTGTAGCTACTCAGTGCACACTTGCTGAATGGTTGCAAGGATGGGTGGGTGGTGGTTAGAAGCCTGACTGCACGATGAAGGCTTGATCGAGGCAGTGGCATGAAAACGGGAGATGAATCTTAGTTGTTTTTAGGAGGAGGAATTGGCAGGGCTTGTGATTTGAATGGGGCAAGGTTATAAGGGGGCATGTAGATTCTAGACTGACTTCCAGGTTTCTTGTGTGGACAAGGAGAGGGATGATAGGATCATCGGCTAATGCAGAAAGGAAGTCGACACGGGCAGGAGAAATGGGGAGATGAATTTATTTTTTTAATTTTAAAAATGTTAAAAAAATTTTAACTTATTTTTTGGCCCGTACTGTGTGGCTTGTGCGATCTCAGTTCCCCAACCAGGGATTGAAGCTGCGCTATGGCAGTGAAAGTGCCAAATTCTAACCACTAGACCACCAGGGAACTCCCCGGGGGATGAATTTAGGCCAGAAGGTTTCCGCTGATTTGCAATTGGGTCGTGCGTAGAATTAATATGATTAGCTTCAGTGGGGTTGACAGAAGTGAGACTGCAGTGGGCTTAGCAGCAATTGTGAGATGAGGTTGTGGAAGTGGATGCATGCTGCCCGTGGAGATGACCTTCTAGGAGCAAGGCTGTGAGGTGGACGGAGGAAGCGTAGTAGCTAGAAGGGGAGGCAGTGTTGAGGACGGGCTTTTGTAATGGGAGACGCTTGAGCATCCAGGGGTTTGACATTTTCCATATCTTCGGGTCTATTTTACTTTTAGGCTAAAAGACATTAGGGGCTTCTTGGAAGTGTTGTGCAGATTGGCCCTGATGTCCAGAAGTAATGGGAACTAATGGGCAGGCCTAACTTTGCCACCACGTGACCTAGAGTGACCTCTGTGTCAGGTTCCTGTCCTCACAGTTGGAGCAGAAGCTGTCACAGGCTTGCAGCAAGGATGGCCTCCGGCTGGCTCTCACTGGATGGGAAGGCAGGGCCAGAGCTGGAAAGCTCATCGCTCTCATCTCCCTGGATGGGCCTCTGCTGCCCCCTCCTGGGCAAGACACGGCTCCGCTCGGAGAATGCCCGTGCCACGCCTGAGTGGAGTGAGCAGGAGGGAGAGAGACAGGGCTGGGAGTGGGAGAATGGTCACAAATTTCCAGATTCCTATAATAGAAAGTTTCCTCAGAAGTTGCAAAATCCAGGGCCTAATCTCTGGCAGTGCTGTTTCATGAGCTCCTTAGATGTTTCCTTCTTAGAAGTGTCAGAAGAAAGAAACCTTGCAAGGTTGATTATTCATTCACTTGTTTGATCACTTATTCACTCGTTTATTCAGCAAACATTAGGGTACATTATATACTCAGGCTGCAAACTTTTGGAAGTCAGATACATTTTCCTCAAGGAACTCGTAGTCTAGTGAGTGGAGATGGATTAATAGATAATTATAATCAGTTTCAAAAGTGAAATGATAAGAGAAAAGGGCAAGCCACTGCAGGGGCACAGAGGAGGGATACCTAACTGGCGCTGTAGTGGCAGGTGGGCATGATGGGGGCTTGGCCAGAAAATGTTTCCCAGCGTGGGAGCTAAATGCTAACAGATGATTAGGAATTACAGGCACCAAGTTACTGTCTAATATCATATCTCCCCGTTATTAAATCTGAAGGGCAAGTCTTGCTTCTTCCAAGGAAACTTCTTCCTGAAGCCTTTCCTCACTGTTATCTTAGATATCACTGTTATCTAACAGTCTCATAGGGCCTTGGTTTTCGTATCTGTAAAAAAAAAAAAAAAAAAAAAAAAGTGGGGCACGCTACTAGATTTTATCTTTGAGCTTTGTTGTCATCGTGAATCTGAAATCCATGAATGCTAACATTTGCTTTGTAAAAACAGCTCCCTGGGAGCAGGCTGGCACATGCATATGGACATACAAACCCAGAAATTTTTCAGCATCCATGGGAAAATTCGGCTTTAATCCAAAAGAATCAAATGTGCTTTGCATACAGTAGCTTTTCACTAAATGCTTGTTGCAAAAGAACAGGCTCTTGGCACTGTTAAAGCATTCCTGTTGTCCCCTTGGGTTGCTGAGTTTCTTCATCTATAAGGGGGATAACATGTCCCTTGTGGACTTGTGCGGGGTGTCATTACACATGCAGGCACCATTCCCATGTCTGGCCTATGGTAGGCCTTCGTAGATAGCAGCTATTGTTTCAGTGAGGTAGTAATTTAACCTGGCACAGGGGACAGTCACTGAGGAGAGTCACAAGGAGAAGAGGGAGTACACTAAAATTAAATGCAAGTTGATATGTTGGAGTTTAGGGCTATTTTGTGTGAGACTGAAGACTTAGCACTTTCTCCAGAAAGCTTCTTCGAGGCCCAACACAACAGTTCACTAGTCACACTCCTGACCCGTCTCTCACAGGCCCCAAGTGGCCTGGAATCTGAGGCGGGTCCTTCAGGAGCAGGACTTCACAAAGTATCCTATTCTTCAGTCACTGGGCTGGATAAGTGACAGCACAGAACCCTCAAAGAATTGCAGCGATAAGCGCATCTCAGGAGACTGGAAGAACAAACTCCTAATGGCTGTCTGGTAGCTGTAGGATAGGTTAATTGTTCAATTAAGATGTATCTGCAAACTAAATCTGATGGAAAAAGGCTAAATGGATTACTGCGTTTTGTTTCCACACTTTATGATTAGAGAAATGAAAACCAGATGCCAAAGGGGAGGACTGAATTGTAGAATTTGTTCAAGTAGAAATTGCCTTAGAGATCAGCCAGTCCAGTCTTATTTTACAGATGAAGAAACTTATCCACAGATGACAGAGTGGCACAGGGGGCTGACACTCTCCTGATTTCCAATCTAATGTGATTCCAGTATTTCATGCTAGGAAAAAAAATACCTAGACTCCTTTAGCTTGGAGAACAAAAAATGGCTGGATGACAGTTCAGGAACATGGATGTAGTTAGTACGCCTCTGGGCAATTAATCTATCATTCTAACTGTAGGTGAGGTCAAAATCCATTCGTTTATCGACAAACATTTTGAGTGCCAACTATCTCTCATTCAAGGTCATTTCCGTCTCCATGATTTTCATTTTTCAGTTTGCTGTTCTGTATATCGACTTGCACTAGATGTTATGGGACAATCTATTGAGTGTAAAGAAAAGTAGTCCGCCCCTTAGAGAGGAAGGTAAGAGGCACACTGTATGCTTGGTCACATGTATTCAATAGTTCATAGAGATGTTAGGACTAATATATAGTAAAATCTTAATAGTGTCTATTTGGTTTTGGAATACACCGTTTTTCTCCCCTCGGCTGATGACCCTTCCAGCAGTAAAGTAACTGATTGTAAGACCGCACACACCAAACCATCTAAGAGGGGAGAGAAGTTGTCTATACCTGTCCCAGGTGAGAAGTATCAAAAAATATATATATATTCTACTTCTCGTATTTAAAGGTCCTATAGTGGATGCCATGGTGTGCCATCCAGATACCCCTCCTTAGGACTGAAACACTCAACCCTGTGGCCTTCCTTCCTGCGCAAGGTGTGGGTAGTTTTGGTGGCTAACATTTCTAAGCTGAGACCCCTCTAGAAATTGCCCTCAACTGAAAAATCATCCACGGTAGTGCCCCCTCCTTAGACCGCGTGTATTCACTGGTCAGTATGGGAGTTCAAAGGCCTGATTCCCTTGCCTCTA